AAACACATTGCAATCTACTTTTATCCATTTAATTGATTTTTATCCTGGCTTTATTACTTTATAAGTAACTCAAGATGGCAAACATGCAGATTATTCCTCCTCCTCATTTTCCAAAAACAACAACTCTGTGAGGTGGGTTGAGCTGAGAAATATTGTCTGGCCCAAAGTATCCAAATGGTTATATGGCTAAAGTGGGACTAGAACTCACAGGCTTCTGGTTTTCAGGCCAGCACCTTAACCACTACACCCAACTGACTCTCTTTTAATTGCTTCTTTGAAAAGAAAAGCTGGATCAAAATGTTGAACACACATACCCACTATAAATTTAATTAGGATGACCCAGAGTATATAAGTAGTAATGTGTGCATCACGTGCCTGATTACATTTTTACTATTATACCAGTTTTTATTTTTGTTTAAAAAAAGGATTTTGACATTTCATCAGCCTGTAACAAAATAGCAATAGCACTCACTTGGAACACTGACATAGACTTATATACGCCTTCACAGTGGTTTACAGTCCTCTCTAAGTGGCTTTTACAGAGTCAGCATATTGCCCCCAACAATCTGGGTCCTCGTTTTACCGACCTCAGAAGGATGGAAGGCTAAGTCAACCTAGAGCCGGTCAGAATTGAACTCCTGAAGTGAGCAGTGAGTTAACCTGCAGTACTACATTCTAACCACTGCGCCACCACGGCTCTTCTTACTTTCTTGAATGTTATTCAATTCAGGTCTCCAGTGAAACCCTCATCCAATAAGAAGGTTTATGAACAAATTTTCTAGACCACATGTTGCCTCACTTATAGAATTATAACCTTTCTCCCTCTGGATTTGTTGCTATTATAATTTTTCAAATCCTTAGCATGGAAGCCTATAGCTAAACTTCATCAAAATGAGGAGTGCTGCCTAAAAATGGTAAGCTGTGCTGAAAATCTATGGTTCCTCAACTCCTTTCTTTGTAAATTAGAACTTATTTCAATTCTATTCAGTTCTACTAAGCGTTGGATTGCTATTCAGCCCTACAAAAACAAATCTATGTGATTCTTGACATGTTTACTCAGAAACACATTGCACTCTGTTCAGTAGGCCTTCCTATTCACTGGGTTGTGACCTTAATGAGAAGCTAGGAAGCAGCTTAACCCTCTAAAATAAAATAAGACTCCAATCTACACTCCTAACATAAAATGCCATGTCACCAAATTTTACTCTTCCTGGGGCATTTGAGAAATCATACAGTCAAGGTAATATAGTGAATTCAAGCTTGGCACAAAATTCCACTAATAGCTACCTATTTTAAACACTACTTTCTAGAAAACAAATGACTGCCTGTGCATATCTGCAAAGTTTGTCTGGCTAGCTTCTTCGCTTGTATACGTATCTCATAATTCTGTTGTCACCATTGTACAAAGACATTTATGAAAATGTCAATACGACATTCCTAAAAATTCTGTAAGAGTTCTGCTATTAGGTAATAAAACAATTAAAAACACCAGTATAATATATCTCTTTAACATAACTATCTTTTTATTTAAACAACCAAACTGCTGACTCAAAACAGCAGAAGAATGACTCAGAGAGTCAGCATTTTCAAAAAGATCCTAAGCACTTGCCACCAGCAAACATGCAGCTTTGTAATTAGAGGTATCCCAATTGGTTGAGTGTGCATAACATCTCTTTCCATTTACTACAATTTGACCCTGAATAGAGAACAAACAAACTCTATATAAATGCATGCTATATATTAAGTTAAGTTATCTTTAATACATAGAACCTCAATATTGACATCATATACCCTCATGCTTATTTTTCTTTTTGCAAACCAAATATATTTAATATGAAAAATAATGTTCCAATATGGAACAATTGAAATAAAATATGTTCTATAAGTCTGAATAAATTAACGAAGAAACACTTGTAGTATCCATTCCTTCTTCCCTTTTCATATTTGCAAGTGATTGTTTAGGTTGTTATTAATGTAAATTTGAAGGTTTTAAGGGTTTTTTTTTTAATTTAAACTATCCCAATCTGTCATAATTACAGGAAACCATTGGTAAATCTGTATCTGATAGTTAATTTAACCAGTTTTGTCACAAACATTGATCTCACATAAACCAACGCTGTTTTCACAAGAAATGCAAAAGAAAATATAAGTGTCCAACAGATTCAATTTCTTAAGAAACATTTAATCTTTCTAATAGCTTTAATATTGCCTTTTCTATTTATACTCAGCTGCTTGGGGTGGTTTGTTGTTGTTTTTTAATGAAAATTGTGTAGTGGATCCTATTCTCACTGGTATCTTTTCTTTCAAAAGCTGTTACTCATGCTCTCCAAAGTATGAGATGAAAATGATTGCTTGACCCTAAAATGCCAACTACATTTATATAATGTATTTAGCTTCATAAGCAGGCCTAAAGGAATACATATGTTTTAGTGGTAGAAGCATAATCTAGCAATCCAAAGGCATGATGGGTGGTTTAGTTTAAATGTAAATTTCTTGAGGATGGAAGTGGATTTTTTTAAGGCTTTTCACTTAGCACTTTTTGGAGTTCTAACCTCAATAGAAAACTCAGCTCATCAACTCTGATCCGTGTCTGTCTTTACATTGGAGGTACTGTAAATAAAGAGATGAAGATTGCATTTACTTTCTGTCTGTAGCAGAGGAACCCAAGAACAGTAGTACATTCCAATGTATTCCAAAACCATGGAGTGTAACTATAGCATATTACCACAGATGAAAAATGTGTCAGCCAGCAGTGCATAGACACTGAATGTGTTCTCAGCCTCAGCCAGATGAGAACAGTCTGGAAATAAACAGGGATGGGCTGAGAATTTCAGAATTTGAAACAATGAAAAAATACCTTCTATGTTCATCTACCTTTTGTTGGGGATGGGGAGTAAGAAAGGATTGGCAATCTATGTCGAAAGTGACGCGTCTGATCAAGTTACTTATGTACCTGCTTCACCCAATGCAAGCAACATCTTTAAAACACGCTGTTTCTGCTCAAACTACTGCAGAGGGCAACCTCTGAATGTTTAAGATACAAACAGCATTTTTTTCCACTCAATATTATTAATATCATAAATAATAAGAAAACCTGTTTTTCCCCCATGGAGGACTAGTTTAGAAACATGCAAAATATGTCAACTAAAACTTAAACTGAAAGGATTGGGTGGGTGGGTAGCTGGTTGGGTATTAGTCTGAAGATTTCACGAACTCAAAACAGGTTTTTTTTTTAAAGAATTATATAGGAAATAGATCTTCCATTGGTAAATAATGTTCTGTTACCATGTAGAATTCAAAGGCTCCTTCAAAAGAAATCAATTTTTCAATAGAGGCAGACTTCCAAAGGCATTTAAACAAAAAACAAATTCACATAATAAGTCTAGCCTGATTTTTTTTCTCTCTCTCTGTAAAAAGTGTTTGGCTATACGCCAGGGATGTTAAGCCACATGCATGCTTCTCTGTACACTCAAGGAACTGTTACTGCTGAGCAATACTCTACACAGGCACAGGAAGGTTGCACTGCAGATCCTGTTACATACAAGCATCAGGCGGTCTCCCACAGAAAGTAATTTGAACATCAGTCATTTCTATTCCAACTTCCATCAACAAACTTAGCATTCTAAGAAGGAAATCAGAATCTTTCCAATCATCGGCTGCTTTAAAAAAATAAAATAAAAATGAACCCTTCAGATTCTGCCGCAACAAGTATCTACTATTTTCTATAGTTTCAAAACATCCAATAATTGAGTAGGGATTCTGCATTTGTTAAGACAAGTGTTAATTGCAGGGATTCTGCATTTGTTAAGACAAGTGGCAATCCAAGTTCTTAAATCATCTTCCCAGGGAAAGATCTAAAACAGGGTTTCCTCTATTCTGCAGCTCAGTTCAGGGCTTGTTGGAACAGCCCAGTTACACAATTATGTAGCACATACAGCTGCTCCCAGAAAAACAGCAGTAGCTAATCCAGTGTGTTCTGCACCGGTTAACCCTTATTACGGATCCATCCCAAAATCAAATCTCTCCAAATATACACTTCCCAAACCGTCATGCCTGAATGCATGATCCTGCTGCACTAGCTGTGTGTTAATGCAGCAAAGATCCGGTTGGGACATTCAGCCGAGAGGAGTGGGGGAGGAAGACAGTTCTGGAGGACGGGGTGGTCTTTAGCATCACACAGATCGGAACTCTGGGTACCAGCCTAGCATTTCCCTCCCCAGAGAAGGAAGGTTGCACAAAAGGCTGGCACTGCACTGCAGCCGCTTTGCTTGCCATACTACAAATGGAGGGGGGGGTTAAAAAAAAAAGGGGGGGGGATAAACTGCTCTTCCCCCAAGAGCCCTTACTGGTGTGAGAAACATGCCTTAAGAAGAAGGTGCAAACTCATTCCAGGGAAAGAGCTGACTGCGTAGCATCTCTCCCTCTCTGTCTGCTCGGAGGAGGGTGGGGGGAGAGCAAGGGGAGTCCACCGAGCACAACAAGGAGATGCTTCCAAAGTTGAGTTGAAAGTACCACCGAAAGAGGAGGGCGACATCAAAAGAGAAGACGTGGGGAGGGGGGCAGAGAAACGCTTTTCCACCCCTCGGGATAAGCGAGGGGGGGGGGCGAATGGAGAACAAGGCAGGAAGGAGGCTTCACGGATGGGGCGGCAGGGAGAGCTACTGTCCACCCCCCCCCCCTTTCGACGGTCTAGTTTGAAAGTGGAAGGAAGCCTCTTAACTGTCGCCGGCCAAAAGCTCCAAACGGCTTGGCCCATTTGAGTGTCGCAGATTTGGGAGGCAGAGAAAGAGTCTCCGCTTCCCCGGCGGCGGGGAGGTGGGGGGGGGAGTGTTGTAGAATGAGCTGCGCCAGTGCATGTGGAGCTTCAACGCAACGCCAACACCGACACGGGGAGGTGGAGGGGGGGGGCGGCAAGCAGAGAGAGGGAGGGAGGGCGCCAAACACACAACCCGGCCAAGCTTCCCTAACCCTCGGATTGGGAAGGCTGAGTCGAGTCCTACCTCAGCACCGCCGTGTCCCCTTTCCGGACCACCAGGTTCTCCACAGCCGTCCCGGGGAAGTCTACACTTTGGCCGGCGGGGAGACAGGAGGGCAACAAGCAGCAGAGGCTGAGCAGCACCGCGGCCAGCCACTGGTTGGAGCAACAAGCGCCCTGGACCAGGAGCATCACGTCCATGCCCTCTCGAAGGCTGCGCTCCGGCTCGCGGCTCTAGTTTCGCGTCGACCCCCGGGCGAAACAGGCAGGCGGGCGGGCGCGAAGGCAGAAAGCAGCCGCCTTCCTCTGTCCTGGCACAAGCCCGCGCGTCTTCTCGTCGCCTCTCCGGCTCTCTTGCTCCCGCTGCCGCCTCTCGGCTTTCTCTCGCTCGCTCAGCTTCTCGCTGGCCGCGTCCGGAGCGTGTCTAGTCTCGGGTGTCTCGCACACCATCTAGCGAGGAAGGAAGCGCGCGGGAGAATGAGCCAGCCAGAGAAGCGGCGGCGGCGGCGGCGGCGGCAGTAGCAGCAGCAGCAGCAGTAGCAGCAGACGGACCCCAGGCTCAGAGCCGGTTGCCATGCAGCCGTTTCCGTAGCAACTTGTCCTGGTGGCTGGTGCTGGTGGTGCTGGAGCAGAGGAAAACCGGGGGGGGGGGGGCGGGGAATGGGAGGGGGGGAAGAATGTGTCTGTGGGTCTGTGTGTGTGTGAGAGAGAGAGACAGAGACAGAGAGAAAGACAGAGAGACACACAGAGATGCATACACATCTCTACAATACTACTCATCTGTGTATATGTGTTGTGTGTCTGTATATACACAGAGAGAGAGAGAGACAGAGTGGCTTTATGTCTGTGTGGAGATATATATATATTAAATAGTATATTTAAGCAAAAGAGAATGAACTTCCAAGGTAATAAGAAACAGCCAATTTAAAGGCATTGGTTGTAGCCAGATTCAGACACCACCCTGCAAAGGAAGGGCATGCCTGTACAATCTGTGATTTTTTTAAAAAAATAAAAAAGAACTACAGTTACTCTCTCCTTTTTGTTTCTTTTTATTCATTCAAAAACAAAACTTCCTCTGTTAACACACACACACACACACACACCACACACACACACACACACACATGTACATGCCCGCTTTAAAACTTAGCTGACTCCAATGGGGCCACGACTCCTGTTTTGTTCTGCTTTCATGCCTTCCCGTGAAGGAACAACAGGGGATTTATTTATTTATTTATCTATTCATTGGTTCGATTTATGTGCCGCCCTTCTCCGGAAACTCAGGGCGGCTTACAATGTGTTATATGTGTATATACCTGCTTAGTAGGGCTTTCGGACCCCCACCCCCAAGCGATGTTCTATTTTTTATACAAAGTCAGCTTATTGCCCCCACAAACCGGATCTTCATTTTACCTACTTCGAAAGGATGGAAGGCTGAGTCAACCTTGAGCCTGGTGAGATTTGAACTTGCAGTAATTGCAGGCAGCTGGTGCTATTTAATAGCACTTTAGTCTGCTGCGCCACCAAGGCTCTTCCCAAGGGATCAGGAGAGAGTGGGGCTGTCTTTTAAACTTGCATTTTTATATACACATGGTGTACACCTAAACTCACCCAAGCACCTACTAGCACAAAGGGAAGAACATATTGGCAATGCAAGTCCTGGATAATTTTTTTCTGTCCCTTGTGTTTGGGGAAAGATATAACGGGATGCATGTCAGAATAAGGTATGATCAGTTTTAGAAATAGTTCCTGATTTTGCAAGGAAGACCTTTGTAAGAAGCTCCTTTGTTTTACATGTGGAACCTCATGCTGGTCTATGATGGAAATAAACCAGTGGTGAAATCCAAATTTTTTTACTACCAGTAAAAAAATGTGTGGCTTGGTGGGCGTGGTGTGGCTTGGTGGGCATGGCAGGGGAAGAATACTGCAAAATCTCCATTCCGTCCCCACTCCAGGGGAAGGATACTGCAAAATCCCCATTCCCCCCACTCCAGGGGAAAGATACTGCAAAATCCCCATTCCCTCCCCACTCCTGGGGGAAGGATATTGCAAAATCTCTATTCCCACCCCACTCTGGGGCCAGCCAGAGGTGGTATTTTCTGGTTCTTCGAACTACTCAAAATTTCCACTAACGATTCTCCAGAACCTGTCAGAACCTGCTGGATTTCACCCCTGGAATAAACCCTCCACTCTTACATGGCAGTAAGAAATTACAGTGGTACCTCAATACTCATTGTTAATTGGTTCTGGGAGGTGTGATGAGTACCAAAAACAATGAGTACCAAACAAATATTTCCCCTAAGAAATAATATAGTCACAAGACAGCCAACACTGACAAGCTCTAGCTTGTGCATTGAGTACCAAACAACGAGTACTGGGATAAAATTTCCATGTCAAAATGTGTTGAGTACCAATTTTGATGAGTTTCAAAGCTGTTGAATACCAAAGTACCACTATAGCTTCTTGTTAAGTTATGCAAAATTGAGATGCACCCAGACTGGCATGGCCATATTTGAAAAATGTTCATTCTTACTCTTCCAACTCATGGAAAAACATGAGTGTCAACACTTCAACTAATGAAGCCTACTCAATTTTATTGATAATGCAAGAAATAGATAATATCAGATTCCCCAGCTTTATTTGGCAGCTAAAATAGATGTACATAAGGCTCTCTTCTATAGGGTAAGATGGACTTATGATCACTGTCTCATTAAGGATTTTATTGTTAAATGTATGAACCCCTACCAAAGAAGATGGCATTTTCTACTAAACAGGTGTAACTCCCTTACCTTTCAACACATGGTGGATTAAGGCATATGAGAGCTAGACAGACTGCAACATTTGCATTTCTGGAATATCTCAAGAATACTAGAACCTATCAGAGATAAGTATTCTAATTTATGTCTTTCAGTTTTTTTAAAAAAATCATCTACAGTCTTGTAAAGCTTGTCTGTGTTGCTAAAAAATAAAATTCAAGGGCCAAGTTTGAAAATAAACAAAATAAAAGTTAGTATATTCTTCCTGTATTATAATATTTTTCCCTAATTTGTTTAAATCCAATGTAGTCTGGAGTAGGCTATGTATAAGAAGAGGAAGAACCAACTTCTTTAATTTTATACCTTTCTGCAGTTTTCCAATACCAAATTGCATCCTTGAGCTGCTTTTCTATATGTAAGAAGGATGCAAAGTCAACTTTCCTTCACATTCATTTCAACTCTTAGTGACCTCATGTTCATGTAGTTTTCTTGAAAATTTTTAATTTCTGTTTACTTTCATGGCATTTTCAGATTACAGCCCAGGTGTTTCTTGATAGTACCATATCCAAGTACTTACTAGTTGTTATAGGTGTTAAGTGGGTCAACTTATGACCATATCCAATTTTGTTACTTTTTTGCAGCAGCCGTAAACCGAACGCCATAGTCAATAGGCAATCCCATTGTTCACTATGGAAAACGTCATAAATTGCAATAATGTGACTGTGGGAGCATTGCAAATGGCTTTAAATGCACGCTGGTTGCCGAACACCCAAAATACAATCATGTGACCAGGGGAAGAACTTCAAATCCGGGTCATAAGTCCCTTTTGGGGGGACTGTCATAACTTGAGACGGTCAGTGACTAGTCATAAGACAAGGACTACCTCTATATAAATAAGCCACATTTTTATCCATCTATGGAATTAAAGAATGGTATAAATTAAGAAAGAATTAAACCATTGTGTCTATTTATTTTTTGCTTAGTCAGAGACTGCTTCCACAGCCATGGTTTAAAAAAAAAAAGATACAGAAAAAAAGTTTTAAAAATGATTTTGCAAAATGGAGTTTGAGCCTCAGATTTTTGCCCCTCACAGCTAGATGGAAATACGGGAGACCTTCACTCAGCTTCAGTAAATATGAAGAAATCCATCCAAAGCTACACAGAGCATTGGCCATATTTTGGACGTCTGGTTTCTGTCACAAGATTCTAAGGATTGCAGGACAAAAATGCAATTTATCAGTGCATTTACACAGAAAGCTACTAAGGAAAACCAACGTATTTTTTATCTCCTTTCCGATATGACTTTCCTACTGCCGAAAGCTCTCTGAAAGTTTATGAAAGAGAAATAAAATATCCTGCAAACTTCTTGCTGGTACATACTGTTGCAATTAGATGGAAGACCAGGGAACAGATGGGAATCAAGCTTTTAATTGCAATAAATCAAAAGGTAGTCTAAGATAATAAAAAGCCTAAATGCTTTAAGACTTTAGTATGAAATATTTAATATTAGGTAGTGAAGTATCTAAAATAATTTTAACAGCTGAATCTACTGGCAGGGAGGATATGATGATGTAGAATAGAATAACATTTTACTGCAATCAGTGATTATTTACACGGACATTTTGTAGAATTATAGTTAGAATCTTTTTGTGTTTATACGGAATGTCAGATTTTCCTGGTGCTCCATTTCAGTGTGAACTATTTAAAGAGGTCAAATCCCCACAACAAAAGGCCTATAACCTTATTAAACATTCCGTATTTTTTTTTAAAAAAAAATAAATTCCTTTTGGCTTAAATGCCTAGAAGTTTATTTTTTTACACTTCGGTTTCTAAAGTACTTACCTCTAGATTCTTCATCAGCCTTGCAGTGCCTCAGGTTATCACAAGAGTGCTCTCTAAACAATGTGTGTATTTTTAAAATGAGCAGCAGCATTTCCTAATATATTTCTTATATTCCTTGCTTGGTTATAGCCTTTAAGCTTGCACAGTGGATGCCAAAGCTCTGTAGGTAATAATGAATTCTGTAAGCAATTTCAGGTGATATTATGGACAATCAATAATTCATATCAGGAGAACCATAATTAAATATGCTAACTCATATGGAATATATATGGTAAACTAAATCCATATGTCATTTTGGGCAAGTGCCATCTGAATATAGAAGACAGAGCTCATGTCACATGGCTTCAATGCTGAATTTCAGCCATTAATTTCAAGCAGCCTTTTTGATGAGGTTTCAGAGAAGTGGTACTGGATGATAATTAGTATACAATGAATAAAATAAAGCATGGACTTTACTTGTACAGAAAACAAATATAAAAATGGAGAACAAAATTAATACCTTTGCCCAGCCTTTCTTTTCTCTCTTATTTAGCCTGGATTATTAAACACCTGGAAACAAAGTTTATTGCAATATTTTAGTGACTATATTCCAGGGAAAAATGTATAGCGTTGAATTATAATTATAGTGTATGTATGCATGCATGCATGCATGTACATACATATGTTTATACATATATACATTCAATGGTATCTTGGTACTCAACTGTTTCGAAACTCATCGGATTTGACAACGCATTTTGATGTGAAAATTTTGTCCCAGTACTCATCTTGTGTTTGGTATTCAACACACAAGTTAGAATTTGTCAGTGTTGGCTGCCTTGTGACTCACTACATTATTCTTTATGGGAAAAGTTTGTTTGTTCTTTATGGGAAAAGTTTAATGATGTGTCCAAGGTACCACTGCATGTATGTATATGTATATAACATGTACTGTATGTATATGTATATATACATACATATACACTCATACACTCATACATGCACACAAGCACAGAGAAATGTATCCTTCTTAATAGT